ATAAGAAGACTAGATGTCAATGATCTAAACTCCCATATTCCATAATAAAAATAAAAGCAAGGAAAACAAATAGAAAAAGAAATCAAAACCTAAACTTTTATTAAAGAATAAATTAAAAAAATGCTGACCTGATTGATGAGGACAAAAGAGAGACCCAAAGTACCAACATCGAGAAGGCAGGCCAGCAGTGCAGACCTGAAAGGCCAGGGGACACTACAGGAAGAGTGTACATGACTCTAGACCAATATATTCTAAAAGTTAGAGGAAAATTCCATGGAAAACTGCAGCAAGAGGAAACTGAAAATTTTTAAACTTCAAAAGTTTTCTATCTATTTTTTTTATTTAAGCAGGATTAAAGACCTACTCAAAGGAAACTCCAGGTTTCACTGGTGAGTTCTAGCAAATATTTAAAGAAATTAATCCCAATTCTGAACAAACTCTTGAGAAAACAAAAAAATGTCTGCCAACTCATCCTTTGACACCAGCACGACACTTATAACAAAGTAAAAAGAAATCACCCAACAACAACAACAAAAACAAAAAAGTGAATGTCCCCATAAACACAGCTACAATAATCTGCTACCTTATTACGTCACATGTGATTATTTGCACAAGGCCCAGTAGTGGCTGCTTCTATCTTGTTGGTGAGAAGCACAACACCAAGATACCTGCGGCTCCAAGGTGAAATGGATAGGCCCTTTCTGGGTGATCTGACCAGTTGGGACCCATATCCTAACACCTAAAAGGCTATCAGGAAAAAAGGTATTTTGAAAGTTCTTCTTAAAACTCCAGCCTAAACACTTAACAGCTACCCTTAAGCAAAGAAAGCAGATTTAAAAAATTTTTATTTTGCTGTAGAACTTATCTACAGTAACAGGTGTTACAGAAAAATACCTGAAAGACAGATCATAAAAGGTTAATGGTGCTTACCTCTGGATGAAGTACTTTGTATTTTCTATTTGTTGCTCATTCACAGTTACTAATGTTGTTATTGAGAATGTGTATTTTTTCAAAACAGAAAATGTTTTTCTCTTAAAAAATACAGAAAGGGTAATAGTTTTCTGATAAGCTGAGGCTGCTGAATCACAGTTCTGGAAGGAAATGTGCATTTCAAAATCTGGCACTTCAAATAGCCGATGCTCCCCAACTTTTTGGGTCAAGAAAGTCAAGATCACATGTCACACAAAGGTGAACTGAAGAGGCTACTGGAGTGGGAGGCAGCCTGGATAGGGCCCACAGAGCCAGCGTGGGCCCATGGGGTGCGAGCTTCTTTTCAGCTAGCCAGGCTGCTTACCACGGGCAGGTCTGGTTGATAGTATCTCAACACCAGAAACATGAGAAAGTCTCAACTAAAATAGTACAGCTCTAAGAAAGTCTAATTCCATGGCTATTTTTAGGTTAATATTCATAACAGAAAAGAGAAGACTGAATTACTATTTATGACCTGGCAATAAGAGCTAAAACAAGTCGCAATCCACACTAAAACATTCTCGAATGGCACATACTTTATAAAACAATAATTGAAAAATAGCAAAGTGGAACCAAATAGCTCCTACTGCAGTCAACAGACTCTGCAATATGTAGTCTCAAAAAAAATGCATTAACAACTATCTGGCTCCTTTTTTCTCCTGGCATTCACATGAAATATCATTTGGCACATGAGTTTCCCATAAAAATGAGTCAGATAGTAAGCAAATGATCATAACCTCACATTATATGAAATGGAAAGAAGCCATTTAATGCAGCATTAAGGTCATAAATTCACACATTCAGAAGCCAACAAAATAAAACACTAGTTCCCAAAGCGTTATTATCTCATTCATGCTGCCATATTAACTATCCACACTAAAAACGCTAACAAAATATTATATTTGTGTGTGAAATGCAAAAGGGTTAAGCTTCCTACTTTCAAGTTAACTTGTAGATTCTCAATTTACTTGCCAGCTAAGAGCAGATGTCTAGTGTCAAAGCTTAAAAAGACCAAGTAGGTCAGACTCACCCCTTGCACACGCTCCGGAGAAGCCCAGCACAAACCTCACCCAACAAAAGGGCAGCACTGGGAAAGGGCATTGAACAACCCCAAAATTACTCATCTGGGAACTTCCTGATCCTTAAGGAATATTGAAGCCAGGTCCAGTCTACTTTATTAAATATTTGTTTGAGGAAAAAAACAAAACTATAGGTAACTTCGAGACTAGAGCCTCAAATTTTAGAAATTCACAAACACGACTCCCCTTCTATTATTCTCAAAAGGACATTAAATAATCAGGGCCTCTTCTCTACCCTTATTGTTCATTCTTGGTATAACAGTTGTGCATATTACAAGTAAAAAAGCATGACTATCATGACCATTATATACATATGATAAATATAATATGAAGTGTGATAAACACATATACACTCATGAATTTCTAAAATGAACTCACAGGAAACAAACACCTCGCTCATATTCACTGATAAGAATCATTTCAAAAGCTCCAAAGTGCCATCACTTACTAGGGTCAAAAACTGTGTGCCTGCTATGTGCCAGACAACATACCAGGCACTAGGAATTAAAAAAGAAATGAGTAAAACACAGTCCTGCCTTCAAAGAATTTACAATCTAACTGGCATTCAGACAAGCAAATCAGCAGGATAGAGGATTAGGTGAAGTGCTGTGACCCAGGCACAGATACATACTAGGAAACATAAATGTGCAAATAGTGGGGAAGAGAGAAAGGAAGAAAGGTTTTCCAGAAGAGCTGACGCTTGATGCTTGAAACTAAGAAGGTGGAAACATCAAGACTAAAGAACTTTCTGTACCCAGGCATGAAACAGGTGACAGGTTGGAAAACACAAGCTTTGTATAAGATCATAGGACACATGGCAGGGGAATATTCCAGGACAGACGGGCAACCTGTGAAAAGTCTGTGTTCTAGAGTAGAAAATATGAACTGCATTCTAGTCATGATGAACAGCAGAAAGCTTTAGGCAAAATAATGGGACTAATAGTAGCAGTAATATTAATAATGTAACAGTGGTTTAACATGTTATTATGTATTAGACATTACACTAAGACCTTGACATACACAAGATCACCTAATTATTTTACAACCCGATCTAAAAATAGGCCCATATTATAGATAATTAAGATTCAGAGAAGAAACGTAACTTGTTCAAGGGTATATCTAGAAAGCTATGGAGCCAGATTTGATGGGTAGGTAACCTGACAGAATTCTCATTTAAGAGCAATCAACCTGGGGCCTCCCCGGTGGCGCAGTGGTTGAGCGCTGGGTTGCGAGGCTGCCCGCAGCCTCTGCGGCGCCGGTTTGATCCCCGGCTGCTCCCCGGCCACTGGAGGAGGGTCCCACATGCGCGGGCCTCTCCTGCCGCGCTGCTCCCCTCAGCAGTGTGCTTCGGACTTCTGCCTGCTCTGCTCCCCCTCTGGCTCTGGTGAATTCTCTCACCCTCCCGCGCTTCTGACTGTGCAGTGCATGGTATAAACAGAACAAACAAAAACAAATAAATAAATAAAACATGCCTCTATTAAAAAATAAATAAATAAATAAATAAATAAATAGATGTCTTCAAAAAAAAAAAAAAATAAGAGCAATCAACCTGGTGAGCAGGATGAAGTGGAAATAAGTGAAGGGCATATAGAGACTATTGCTAAAAACCAAGTAAAAAATGTTAGAAGCCTGAAGGAGGGTTGAGAGGGCTGAAGAACAGAAGCAGAGGCAAGAGCCACTGAAACAGATTCCATGACATGGTCAAGTTAAGGTGCCCTTTCTCCAGCTTGTCACTCAGCACAGCTGACAAGAACTGTCTCTCCCTGATAGACCATAAGCCTGCATATCGTGTAGCCTGTATCTCATTCCTCCCTGTACTGTGGTCTGGACAGTGCCCAGCACACAGTGTCAACTTAGCATATATTTTTCAAAGAAAGAAAGTAGGAAGGGAAGGAAACAGAAGAGAAAATATCTAGATTTCTAGCTTGGTGCAGATATTAGTACCACTGACCATCTAGGGACAGAGCAAAAAAAAAAAAAGAAAAAAAAAAACAAAGTTATAATAAAGGGAGAAAAGTTTATATAAATATGTGTAAAGTTTTAAATTTGCTTTTAAATTATAATATATGCTATGGAAAGATAATGCCATCAGATCTCCATTACTGCCTTTTCTGCTAGTAAAAGTGGAATTGTATAAGAATAATGCTTCTAACAGACCAGAATGAATATCACCATTCATATGGGAACTCAAAACATTTGGTCTTTAATCTCTAAACACAGCTGCAGGGCTGAGAGTGAGCCCCAAAAATCTGGCCCTAGGCCACTAGTGACGCTTAAGAACCAGCAAGTCCCTAAGAGTCCGAGAGCCTCTGTAGGATCAATTTCAAGACTACAGATGCTTCCCTTCTTGCTCTCTTTCACTGTCAATATTTATCTTCACATAAGGCAGCTGTAAAGTAAAGTGTGTATACCATGTATTTCTAGTGAAACCAGAAACTTCAGTAAAGCACTAATACAGCGTGGTACTCAGGAAGGACACTGTAAATATCTGTCATCATCCTAATGAATATGGTTAGGTTCGCTGTGACTTCTACAGCTGCTCCACTAGTAAACCAACTTAACACGAGGGCAGACAGGGCTGCCTGTCTATAAACTAAATATTGTAAAAGATGCATTTACCTAAAGGCGCCCTCAGATTTAGTTTTCTCCTATAAGGTTCCCACTGCCTTTCCAGCTACTCCTTCTGCAGAATGAAATGCTCCTCAGCCTTATGCCGACTTCTACTCATTCTTAAATTTGCTTTCCAAAAGCCACTATTTCTCCTCAGTCTCATCTCACACCCATCTTTAAAAAAAAAAATCACCATCTCTGTGTCTTGCTTTCAATAGATTAGTCAAAGTTTATAATTACATATTGAGCATCTGTAGACACTAGAGAGGTATAGGGCGAGACCTCTTGGCTTACAATCATACCCTTCGCACCAGTAAAACAGTTCATAAACATTATAAACACCCTTGCAAATGTGTACTGACTATATCAAAAAATGATCAAATTCTAGACATTTGCTTATACTGATCTGTATGTAACCCACTCTTGACTTACACATATATTTCTTTCTGCCTTGATTTCAAAGTCAAAGACTATAGACACCTCCTTTTATCCCCAGCTGGTTTAGAGCGTTTTGAAAACATCAGACCCAATTTCAAATCTCTCCAAAAAGGACATCTTAAAGCAAACCATTTAGGCCATATGAGAAATCAGTTAAGATTTTTTTAATTACAATAATAAACAATATAATAATTCATGTTAATAAGTATTCAATATCTATCCCGACTTTCAGGAAACACTGTAAACGACCACAGATTGGAAATCATCATTTTTAGAATATTTTGGAAATTCTTACCTTGGCATTTCCAATAATAGATGTAAAGTCGTCTTTTGCAGATCTGCAAAATATGTGCAAAATTAAATTTTATCATAATAGCTTTATCATAGCATATATGCACACAATAGAATACTACTCAGCTATAAAAAAAGGTAAACTCTTGCTATTTGCAACAACATGGCTGGAGTTGGGAGGGAATGATGCTGAACAAAATAAATTGAAGGAGAAAGACAAACACCAGATGGTGTCACTTTTATGTGGATATTACAAGAACAAATCCTAGAAATCTGACTGGAGAACTGAGTCACTACTGATATACTTCGGGGATCTACTTTCCTACTTTGCTGATCATTTCACCATTTTTGCTCAAGGACAATTCCACGGGCAAAGATCACTGCCAAGTGTGTGTGTGTCTACATGCATTCAACAAAAGCAGCCAAGTGCCAACTCTGAGCAAGGCAGTGGGTGAAGCCCTGCAATGCCCTCTGAGCATCTGCTTCCCCTGTTCCACTTGCAAACACCACTTAACTCATCAAACATAAAGTCAGCACCTATTATGTTAAAGGGAAGGTAAAACGCTAGGGAAACAGATGAGTGGATAAAAGATGTACAGATATGCCATGGAATTCTATGAGACTCCAAAGATGAAATCCTGCCATTTGCAACAACGTAGATGGAACTAGAGGGTACTATGCTTAGTGAAATAAGTTGATGGAACAAGACAAACAGCCTATGATTTCACTCACGTATAGTAAAAAAAAGGGAGAAAATAATTCATAAAATCCCTTTAAATACACCTCCTCTAAAAAAAAAAAAAAGAAAACAAATGATAAAAAAATTCAAAAAATTTTAGACTGTGACAAAATAATTGTTACCAGAAGGGAAGGGGAAGTGGGGGTGGCAAACCAGGTAAAGAAGTCAACTATATGGTGGAGAATGGAAAGTTATTTCTAGTGGCAAGAAGAATGTAGTACATACAGATATTGATTTACAAGATTGATACCCAAAGCCTACATAACCCTATGAACCAACAGTTACTTCAGTTATAAAAGAACAAAGAATAAAAAAGTTTTTCCTGAGTTAGTTGCTATCATTATATCGTTTATATGAAAAGCCCAGCTTAGAGAAGTCTTCCAGATGTGCATGCAAAATTCCTGTCCTGAAGGGCGTCCCCTGGTGGCGCAGGCGGTTGAGCACAGCGCTTTGAAGCTGTCTACAGCCTCTGCAGTGCTAGTTCAATCCCAGCTGGCCAGGTGAGGGTCCCACATGGCATGGCAGACCTCTCCTGTCGTGCACGCTGCTCCCCTCAGCAGTGTATTTCGGTCAGTCTGCCTGTTCTGTTCCCAGCTCTGTCTCTGGTGAATCCTCTCATCCTCCCACACATCTGTCCTGTACCCTGGTTCTTGTATAAATAAATAAATAAATATTTAAAAATAAATAAATAAAAATAACATCTGTTTTAAAAAAAAAAAAAATTCCTGTCCTGAAGAACAGAGTGAGAAGTGACCCTGGTCTTCTGCAGACCCGATTCCATCCACAGCTTATGCCAAGAGCAAAGCAGCCCCCGGATGTGTTTACACTTTCCTGAGTATCTGCTTAGCTGATTTAGCAGAAACTGGCTAACCAAGAGCAATTTTTCAGTCTGGAAGATGTGCTTCATCTACCAAGAAAGTAATTTTTCTAACAAGGCAAAGGAATGATCTGGGGAAGTAGGAGGATGAGTGTGTTACTCTCGGAATATATCTTTTATACTCTAATCGACATAAGGAATCTGTTGACACCTCACAAAATTTGTGAGTTAATAATAAATCCCTTTAAATATAACTCCTTTTAAAAATCCTAGTTCTCATTCATCACATAAAGGTTTTCTCAAGGGAAATTTTGAAAATGAATAATAGTAACAATTACCTGATCTCCACACACTGATCTTGAACCGCAGCCAGAAGTTTTCCATTGCTTTCATGGGGAAGAAAAATATTTTAAAAATCTGTATGAATATTTCTAGCAGTCTTCAACAAAAGTGGAATTATTTTAAGGAGTTAAAATCATTTTTAGTTTTTTCACAGGCTTTAATTATCCACCTCTTGAACCTTACAATTAGATGAGTATATGGACACAAAAGCATACAAAATGATTTGATATAACCTGAGTTAACACATCCAAACAATATTAATCATATGTGACAAAAAGAACTTATATACAATAAAAATCGAAACAGCAAACGATAAGGATCTCAAAATTAACATCCTTAATGAAATTTAAATGCTAATCCAAGGAGAAAAGCATAGTAAGAAATTTACACATCCTTACCTTGCAAGTACCAAATGCCAGTTTATCTGTTTATTAACCAAGCGAACCAGTCCATCAGGGAGCAAAAAAGGTGCAGGGCTGAAACCGCAACACATTAGGTAGCTTAAAACCAAATCATGAAAACACATATGCAGGCAAATACTTTAAAACAGCATACAGCTCTGCAGAGACAGTTTGGTACATTTTTCCCACTAAAATATCAAATTTGAATTTTGGTAAATCTCAAACCAAAAGTTACTAATTAGATATCTGAAATTTGATCACATACATTTCTTTCTTCCGAAAACCATGATGGGTGATGTATTCAACTGCATAAATATTATATCCTTCTGAGAAAAAGATATCTAGGGTGCCAGTAACACAGCAAAGGGATCTTACCTGGAACCTTCTTGCTATGCACATTCAGAAATTTTCACTTAACAAAAATATTCTAGTGTACAGCTAAACTCACAAGAGAGAAACTCTCCAAGTACTAGAAATGAAAAGGGATATGAAAATCTGGCACTGGATACAGGGACAGGAAACCAAAACGGAGCTACTTAGCACACAGGAAATAAGCCTACAAGCCACAGAAGGGGCAGAAGGGGCCACAGAAAAGATAGAAATGAGACTACTGTAGAGCCAGGAACTTCAAATAACTGCACCATCAATGACTAGAGAACTAGATAAACCTCACAGCAGCCCAGAGAAATTTTGAGGAATCCCAAGTCTGCCCAGAATTCTGGCCTACAAGGGGATGTGAATAAGGTCTCCTGTGAGAAAGCAAGAACATAAGCCTACATAAGGCTGCAAGTGCCCTTTAGTAGTGTGAATCAAGACTCCCCAAGCACAAACTCACGATATAAGATGAGGAAATGTTCCACCGTAAGTGAATCAGCAGACAAAACAAACTAGAGGAGCAGCACATGAAGAAATCAAAAAAATAGATGGAAAAAAGTAAACAAAAACAGTAAGATGACAGATCAAGGAAAAGAAAATTTTATGGGAATTAGAAAACACAAAACAGAAATTAGAAAACACAAAAACATAAAAACGTTAATAATATACATTCAGTGTAATTATGCTCTTTTTTTAAAAAATACCAGGAGACGATTATAGAAATGTTCTAATAAAGATAAGAAACAGGCACATTAATGATAGCATTAAATGAGTGCAATCATTTCTCCAGAGGGAAAAGGAGAACACAAGGATTGGGAGGGAGAGTTATGGGCGGGCGGGTAAAGGGGAGCAACTTATAAAACATTTTACAGAAAGAGAGGGCTATCTGAAGCAAATATGGCAAAACAGAGCAACAAGTGTTTTAATTCAGATGTAGCTATGTCACATACAGGTTTATTACTAGCTAAGATTCTCAATCCATTTATATTTCACAATTACAAGATGAAACTTAAAAAAAGAAGAAACCACTTGAAATACTGGCCCCAAAACCTTCAGGTTTAATTATTATAAACTCAGGGGCAAAAACTGAACTCAATCTTTTAGAAAGGCACACACTGACGTAGCTGATTAGATAATCAGCGGGCTCACAATCTGTGCACCGGGCACTGGGGCCAGTTCAAGGAAAGGGACTTCTCAGAGAAGACACCTACTCATGTCTGACCTTCCAGGGCTCTCACACAGCGCACTGGTCAAGTCCGCCTTCTCGACAGGTAATAAAAGGATTTACTGTCCCAGAGCAAGCTAAACAGACCCCCCCTCTGACCTCCTGTGTGGGTGTTTCAGGACTAGCAAGCAACAGCCCGGCAAGCTCAGAAAACGAGCTTATCTTTCCTTCTAACCAACTTGCTACCTCCCCAATCTCTCTACATTACCCCCACATCCCAATAAAGGAAGACAAAGTGAAATAAAAATAAAATAAAAGCGAAATAAAAAATATCTACATATGTGCACACGTGCACATAGATTACACACACCAGGAATAAAGGCAGGAAAATCTTTCACTCATACTTGAGGCGAGCCAAAGGTCTCTTTTATAGAACTGCTTATCTCTGGAGATTTTAAGATCAGATGTTCTCAAGAAAAGGCAATCTGGTAAAATTCTATAAAACAATTCCTACCTACGTACCTAAAAGCAGAGTTACATCCCTTGTCGGAATAATCATTTCTTTGCGACTTTAAATTAGCACCATGTCCAAAAACATACTCAACAGTCAAAGAATTAAAAAGAACAATACATGAAGGCTAAATAAGCTGCTCTCATGCACAGCCCCTGAATATTGGCCGCCACAGTTGACATATAAGAACAAAAATATCAAGGTAGAGAGCTAGCATGTGGGCTTTCAGATAAGGCTGAGCGTTGAGCACATTCATCAGAGACAACAGACGCTGTGGTGAGATTCTCTAAACACTGACTAGGGAAGCAGAAATCACCCTGCAGCTACTGAGAACTCTCTCCAGGGTCTGCCACTTGTCTGAGATGTCTAGTGAACAAATGGGGCTCACCTGATTTCAGCATCTAGCTATCTCTCAATCGAGGTGGGGTTCAATTAGAGCAATTTAAGTCATAAGCAGGTAATATTGTTGTACTGGAAGTTCACACTGTCTTTGAAGACTTGACAACTCACCTATACCAGATGTATTGGCGTAAAAATAGTAAGCAATCTGCAAGAAAAAGAAAGAAAGCAAAATATGAATGAACTACTCTTTAGGACTCAATTTCAAGTTAGGTTGAAGACAATCTAAAGTACACTATGGGCCGAGTCATTACAAAACAAAACATGGAGAACACAATTCTTTTTTTTTACAAGCACTGGGTACAGTCAGAAGCGTGGGAGGGTGAGTGAATCCACCAGAGCCAGAGCAGGCATAAGGAACACAATTCTTAATGTAAGAGAATAAATATACCTAACATACACCATAATTTTTACAAGACCATGTGCCTGTTTATATTAAGTTCCAAGTTTGTGTTTTTCAAAACTTTGAACAATCTCTTGACAATATGAAAAGAAAAAAATGATTTGAGATGCTAAATTTCAGCTAAGGGCTTTAAACTATAGACTAGCCGTAATATTCTAGTCCCTTTAAAATACCAAACTATTTGGAAAAAAAAAAAAAAAAAAAAACAAAGTATTTGTATTGGCATTTTCTATGACTATCAAAGTATTGTAAAGTTTGTAAAAGACTTCAGTACTTAAAATTTTATTTTATTTTTTTTTTGGTATTTAAAATTTTAGATGACTTTTTTTACGTTGCAGCAAAGATTTTTAAAATAATACCTAAAATTGGAACAAAAACTGGAAACAAAATCTGTATGTACTACACTATCAAAAAAATGTTTTACATGATCCTATTTAAAATATATGTATAGGGCCCCCTCTGGTGGCGCAGAGGTTGAGCGCTGGGCTGCGAGGCTGCCCGCAACCTCTGCAGCGCTGGTTCATTCCCCAGCCGCCAGCAAGGGTCCCACTAAATAAATAAATAAATAAATAAATAAATAAATAAATAAATAAATAAAATATATGTATATGTGTGAATGTGCATGTCAAGGGAAAAAGGTCTAAATTATAACAGATTATCTCTGAGTGGTAAAATGAGTAATGATTTATTCCAATTTTTCTACAATAAATTTTTCTACTTATGTTCATTTTCCAAATTTCCAAAATCTTTTTTTTAATTTTTATTTATTTGTGCATACAAGAGCTGGGTACAGGCCAGCGATGTGGGAGGGTAAGAGGATTCACCAGAGACAGAGTAGGGAGTAGAACAGGCAGACTGACTGAAATACACTGCTGAGGGGAGCAGCAGGCGAGACAGGAGAGGTCTGCTTCGCCATGTGGGTTGCTCCCTGGCCGGCCGGGGATGGAACTTGTGCTGCAGAGGCTGCAGATTTCTTCACAGTGCAGTGCTTAACCCCTTGCGCCACCAAGGAGGCCCCAAATTTCCAAAATTTAAAGCTTTTGTGATAATGAAAATTGAATATGGTAGTGCTTCTTATATCAGAAGACAAAAATTATAGTTAATTTTAAGAACTCAATTCTAGAAACTGAATTTTCTACTTTTAAGCAGTTCAAATTTGCCAGTAAAATAAGGATGGGCTTTGGAACTAGAAATGCAGCTAAATCCAAACAAATGAACTTGGGCAAATTTCCTCATCTAAAGACAAATGTAATAGCACCTACCCTGTTGGTATGGTAATATTATGCTAATTAATGTATGGAAGACCCTCACTGCCTACATACATAATTAAACTCAGGTAATGTATATGCTATTCACTTCCATCAAGCACTACAAGAAAGTCTGAAGAACACATTTTAAAATCCCTAAACTGAGAGGGGGCGGAGCAACATGGCGGCGAGGAGACGCTGCGAGTAAGATCTCCCATTAAAAAAAGTGAATAGGGAGGAAAAGCGGCAGGTCCCAGTGAGAACTGGGACACGGAAGATAAACGGATGACTCCAGCGAACTACCCGAAGAAGAAAGTGGCCATAAAAGAGGACTAGAAGGGAGGGAAGCGCAGAACCCTGCTCCCCTCCCCCGCCCACAGAGGCGGCACTCTCCGACCGGCAGAGAGGGAGAAAAACAACAAACCAAAACAACCAACAAGAACAAACGACGCAGCAAGCGGGACTGTGAGTGGAAAGGAACTATTGCAGCCACCACACCCCGTGAACGGGAGCTGAGGCGAACCCTGCAGGATCCGCCGCGGCGGTGAGCGAACGGCTCCGGGCGCCATTAGAGAAGAACAAAGACCCCGGGAGACGCGCACACAGCCCGGGCTGCCGGTAAGCTGGCGCGGAAACGCGGCGCGCTCGGGGAGCTTGAAAAGCAAGTGCAGACCTGGATCTCGGCTGCCCAGGTCCCCGCGCCTACGACCTAGGCTTGCGGGGAGACGCGCGGAGGTCCTCACTGAGGGGAAGGTCCCTCCCTGAGTGAGCAGGAACCAGGCGCCCAGGCACGGGAGCTGTGCAAAAGGCGCCATTCCCGCGCCACTGAACTGGGCTACAGCCCGCGTCCTGGAACTGAGGGCTTTGAACTGAGACCCGGGGCACGAAATTAGGGCCGTGGGTTCTCCACGACGGTGGGGCACAAGGCAGACACAGCACCCCAAAGCTGTTGAGGTGTACCCTACCATTCCCACTCTGTTCCCTGTCCCACGGGGTGGGGGGGACGAAAAACAGCCCCCCAAGGACAATAGGAGAGATCTCTGGCGCCACCTAGTGACCAGGAAAAAAAAGTCACTAACACCCCATAGAACAGGAAATTTCTTAAGACTGCTTGAAAAGGGCAGAAGGCTTCTGCAGTGGCCAGCCGGGAAGTTATTCCACGCCAGGCCCCTTCCGACCAGCAGTCTGAGCCCACAGAGGGAGCAGGCACCCACGTCTGGGGCAGACCGGGGGCGCAGAAGAGTGTGCCTGAATCCGGAGGCGCAGGGACTGCATCCCGCTTCGCCATTTGAGAACAGGGATATTTCTTCAGTAAAAACTGCCTAAAACCAGCAGAAAGCTCCCCCAGAAGACAGAGATGGCTCCTGGAAGAGCCAGAGGGGAGCGGAGAAGTTCACCCAAGATGTCAGTCAGTCCGAGCAACACAGTGTCCCAACGCATACGACAAATTAGAAAACAGACAGTAGGGAGTAGAAGAACCACACGCAACCTAAAAACTCCTCAGGAAAGAAGCACACCACAAAAAGAAAACCACTCCCCAGATTGCAACGACAGCAACTTGGAAGAACTTCTGAGCCTTCCAGAAAGAGAATTTAAAATTGCCATGATTAAAAAAGTGATAGATCAGAAGAAGGAAATTGAGTCCCTAAAGAGGGAAGTAAGAGAATGCAGGAGATCAAAGAATTAATGGAGGAACTAAAGAACTCTGGGAAAAGCAATGAAAGCAGAATAGATGAAATGGAAGAACGAATAAGTAATCTTGAAGACACAGAAATAAAAAGAACCAAAACAGAAAAGGAAAGAGAAGTACGAAGGAAAAAGAATGAAGAAAGACTTCGGGAACTATCTGACTCCATGAGGAAGGAAAATATAGAGTTATAGGAATTCCAGAAGGAGAGGAGAGAGATGTAGGAACAGAGAAAATATTCATGGATATAATTGAAGAGAACTTCCCAAATGAGAAGAAGGAGCTGAAAATTGATATACAAGAAGCAAGAAGAACACCAAACTTCCACGACGAAAGGAAAAAAACACAGCAAGACACATAATAGTAAAGCTCCCAAGAATCCAGGACAAGGAAAAAATAATGAAGCTGACAAGAGGGAAGAAACAGATAACATTCAAAGGAAAACCAATCAGGCTGACATCAGACTTCTCTGAAGAAACACTACGGGCAAGGAGAGAGTGGAGGGACATAGTCAACAGACTCCAAGAAAACAGATGCCAACAAAGAATACTCTATCCTGCAAAGCTCTCTTTCCTCCATGAAGAAAGAATATGGACCTTCCCAGACAAAGAGAAACTCCGGAATTTCATTGCGACTAACCCCCCACTCCAAAAAATACTACAAGGAATCCTAAAGCCAGAACCTCAGAGGGACGAATAACAACGAAAGAAGACCAAAAAAAAAAAAAGTTATTAAAGAATAAATAAATAAAATCAAAGGAAAGACAAACATAATGGCAAATACAGATGCTAACATATCAATATTAACTCTAAATGTAAATGGACTAAACTCTTCAATAAAAAGACACAGAGTTGCAGCCTGGATTAAGAAACAAAACCCAACCTTTTGCTGTCTCCAGGAAACACATTTAGCTACAAAAGATAAAAATAGGCTCAAAGTCAAAGGATGGAAAACAATCCTACAAGCAAATGGGCCAAAAAAGAAAGCAGGAACAGCTATACTTATATCAGATAAAACAGACTTCAAACTCAAAAAAATAAAAAGAGACCCCAATGGTCACTACATTATGATTAAGGGGACAATACTTCAAGAAGAAATAACACTCATTAACATATACTCACCAAAGAAAGAGCACCAAAATATATCAGACAACTGTTGTCCTCTCTGAAAACAGACATCAGAGAAAACACATATGTAGTGGGAGACTTCAACACACCACTATCAACAATGGATAGATCAACAAGACAAAAAATAAGTAAAGAAACTAAAGCTCTAAATAAGGACCTAGAGCATTTGGGCTTAACAGACATCTATAGAACACTAAACCCAAAAAAAAACGGAGTACACATTTTTCTCAAGCGCACATGGATCATTCTCCAGGATCGATCCACATACTGGGCACAAGACAAACATCAACAGATACACCAAGATTGAAATCATACCAACCATCTTTTCTGACCACGAAGGCATCAAACTAGAAATAAATCATAAAAAGAAGGCAAGGAACTATCCTACCTCATGGAGATTAAAAAGCCACACTACTGGAAGACCACTGGATAACGAGGAGATCAAAGAAGAAATTAAAAAATTCTTTGAATTGAATGACAAGGAGGACACCAATATCCTAAATGTATGGGATGCAGCAAAAGCAGTAATAAGAGGAAAATATATAGCAATAGAAGCTCACATTAAAAAACAAGAAAGAACTCAAAGAAACAACCTAATCTCGAAGCTCAAAGATCTAGAAAAAGAACAACAAAAAAACCCCAGAACCAGTAGAAGAAAAGAAATAATAAAAACCAAAGCAGAAATAAATGAATTTGAAACATAAAAAACAATCCAAAAGATCCAATGAAACCAAGAGCTGGTTCTTTGAAAAAATAAATAAAAAGACAAAACCCTAGCCAGGCTCACAAAGGAAAAAAGGGAGAAAGCACAAATACACAGGATCATAAATGAAAGAGGAGAAATCACAACGGACACAGCAGAAATCAAAAGAATAATCAGTAACTACTATGCACAGTTATATGGAAACCAGTTCAACAATCTAGAGGAGATGGACAAATTCTAAACTCTACAATCACCCAAACTAGCTAAAGAAGAAATAGAACACCTAAACAGACCATTACAAGCAGCGAAATTGAAATGGGTAATTAAAAACCTCCCCAAAACAAAAGCCCAGGACCTGATGGATTTACAAATGAATTCTACCAAACATTCAGAGACGAATTAGTGCCTATCCTTCACAAACTCTTCCAAAAAATTGAGAAGGAAGGGACCATACCAAACACGTTCTATGAAGCCAATATTACACTAATACCAAAACCGAATAAGGACAACACAAAAAAGGAAAACTATAGGCCAATCTCCCTAATGAACACTGATGCAAAAATCCTCAATAAAATTTTAGCTATCAGAATCCAACAATGTATCCATAAGATAAATTCACCACGACCAAGTTGGATCATTCCAGGGGCAAGGATGGTTTAACATCCGAAAATCAATCAATTTATCCAACACATCAACAAAACGAAATATTAAAAACCATCTGATAATATCAATAGATGCTGAGAAAGCTTTCGACAAAGTGCAACACCCTTCATGATAAAAGCCCTTGAAATTCTGGGATACAAGGACACATACCTCAAAAATCATAAAGGCAATCTATGACAAGCCAACAGCCAGTATCATTCTCAATGGTGTGAAAGCTGAAAGCAATTCCATTAAGATCTGGAACAAGACAAGGATGTCCACTCTCACCACTGCTTTTCAATATAATACTGGAAGTCCTAGCCAGAGCAATAAGACAAGAGAAAGACATCCAAGGAATCCAAATAGGAAAAGAAGAAGTCAAAACTATCACTATTTGCAGATGATATGATCATATACAAGAGAACCCAAAAAATCTCCACAGAAAAACTAATTCAACTCATCAATCAATTCAGTAAAGTGGCAGTACAAAATCAACACACAAAAGTCAGTAGCCTTCCTATACACAAACAATAAATCTGAAGAAGAAGAAATCAAAAAAACCACCCCTTTTATTATCGAAACAAAAAAAATCAAATATTGGGCCTCCCCGGTGGCGCAGCGGTTGAGCGCTGGGTTGCGAAGCTGCCCGCGGCCTCTGCAGCACCGGATCGATCCCCGGCTACTCCCCGGCCACTGGAGGAGGGTCCCACATGGCGCGCAGACCTCTCCTGCCGCCCGCTGCTCCCCTCAGCAGTGTACTTCGGTCCTTCTGCCTGTTCTGCTCCCCGCTCTGGTGAATTCTCTCACCCTCCCGCACTTCTGACTGTACCCAGTGCATGTATAAACAAACAAACAAACAAATAAATAAAACATGCCTAGAAAAAATAAAAAAAAAAAAAAAAAAAAAAAGAAATACATTTAAAAAAAAAAAAAATCAAATATTTGGGAATAAATCTAACAAAAGAGGTAAAGGACCTATACAAAGAAAACTATAAAACACTGTTAAAAGAAATAGAAGAAGACACAAGAAATGGAAAGACATCCCCTGCTCATGGATTGGAAGAATAAACATTATTAAAATGGCCATCCTACCAAAAGCAATATACAGATTCAATGCTATTCCAATCAAAATCTCAATGGCATTCTTCAAAGAAATAGAACAATTATTGATGAAATTCATATGGAATCACCAAAAACCCCGAATAGCCAAAGCTCTACTGAAAAAAAAAAAAAGGAAATGGAGGCATCACACTCCCAGACTTCAAACTATACTACAAAGCCATAATCATCAAAACTGCATGGTATTGGAACAAGAACAGACATACAGACCAATGGAATCGAATAGAAAATCCAGAAATAAACCCACAGATTTATGGTCAACTAATCTTTGACAAAGGAGCAAAGACTATGCATTGGAGCAAAGAAAGTTTGTTCAATAAATGGTGCTGGGAAAACTGGGTCGCTACATGCAAAAGAATGAAGCTTGACCACTACCTCACACCATACACAAAAATCAACTCAAAATGGATTAAAGAACTAGACATAAGACCTGAAACCATAAAATACATAGAAGGAAATATAGGCGAAACACTACGGGATTTGCACATCAAAGACATCTTTACAGACACATCACCCAAAGCAGTGATAGTGAAGAGAAAGATAAACAGCTGGGACTACATCAAATTAAAGAGCTTCTGCACAGCAAAAGAGACAATAACAAAAACAAAGAGAAACCCCACCAACTGGGAGAACATTTTTGCACCCAACACTAATGATAAAGGACTGATCACAAAAATCTGCAAAGAGCTGATGAGACTCAGCAACAACAAAGAAAATAATCCAGTCAAAAAATGGGCAGAAGAGCTAAAAAGAAACTTCTCTGAAGAGGAAATGCAAATGGCCAACAGACATATGAAAAAATGTTCAACATCACTTGTAATCAGGGAAATGCAAATCAAAACTACCATGAGATACCATCTCACACCAGTGAGAATGGCACATATTAAAAAAACTAGCAACAACAAATGTTGGCGAGGATGTGGAGAAAAAGGAACTCTTGTGCACTGTTGGTGGGAGTGCAAACTGGTCCAACCACTATGGAGAGCTGTGGGAGATTTCTGGACCTACTAAACATAGAGCTTCCATATGATCCAGCAATTCCACTCCTAGGTATTTACCCAAAGGACACAGAAACATCAATTCCAAAGAGCACCTGCACTCCTATGTTTATAGCAGCACTGTTTACAATAGCTAAGCTTTGGAAACAACCCAAATGCCCAAAAATAGATGACTGGATCAAGAAGATGTGGTACATATATACCATGGAATATTACTCAGCATTCAAAAAAGATAAACACATGCCATTTGCAGCAACATGGATGGCACTGGAAGGGATCATGCTCAGCGAAATAAGCCAAAAAGAAAAAGAAAAATACCGGATGGTCTCACTCATAGCAGGAATCTAGAAAACTTAAATAAGGGACCAGGAAAATGAATATAAGAAAGTGAAAATCAAAATCAACAAAAAACTATGAACCAGAGACACTTTTGGGGGGTGGGGGGCGGGAGGGGAGGGAAGGATTGGGGTCAGAATGGGGCGTTTGCAATTGTATGGGGAATATAAAAATAAAATTTAATATTTAAAAAAAAAAAAAAAAAAAAAAAAAAAAACTAGCAACAACAAATGTTGGCGAGGATGTGGAGAAAAAGGAAGTCTTGTGCACTGTTGGTGGGAGTGCAAACTGGTCCAACCACTATGGAGAGCTGTGTGGAGATTTCTGGACCTACTAAACATAGAGCTTCCATATGATCCAGCAATTCCACTCCTAGGTATTTACCCAAAGGACACAGAAACATCAATTCCAAAGAGCACCTGCACTCCTATGTTTATAGCAGCACTGTTTACAATAGCTAAGCTTTGGAAACAACCCAAATGCCCAAAAATAGATGACTGGATCAAGAAGATGTGGTACATATATACCATGGAATATTACTCAGCATTCAAAAAAGATAAACACATGCAATTTGCAGCAACATGGATGGCACTGGAAGGATCATGCTCAGCGAAATAAGCCAAAAAGAAAAAGAAAAATACCGGATGGTCTCACTCATAGCAGGAATCTAGAAAACTTAATAAGGGACCAGGAAAATGAATATAAGAAGTGAAAATCAAAATCAACAAAAAACTATGAACCAGAGACACTTGTTGGGGGGTGGGGGGCGGGAGGGGAAGGATTGGGGTCAGAATGGGGCGTTTGCAATTGTATGGGGGAATATAAAAATAAAATTTAATATTAAAAAAAAAATAAATAAATAAAATCCCTAAACTTTCTACAACAGTGGTTCTGAAAGAAATGCAGGAAGAAGTCTGGTAACTGGATCATTACATGTAGAAAAATAAATAAGCTCTATTTACCTGTAACTGCTTTTGTGATGATAAAGGATGCCCCATGTTTTCGGCTGCCTCTGGGCTGCAATTGGGAAAAAAAAAAAACTTGTATTTCAGAATTTTCTAATATGCTTATACAATGGGTAAAGTTATATTTGCAAATAATGTACAAGTTACCAGTATTTAAAAAGAAACAAAACAAGCAGAAGCAGGATTGGGAACAATGGTAGCAAAAGTGAGCATGGCAGACTTACAGGTGTCAGAATGAAGGCTGGGAACTTCCCAAATCAAAACACCAGTAGCTGAAGGCAAAGGCCACACTAGCTACAATTCAGCACAGTCTATACGGTAGACTACAGGGGCCCAACACAAGTTTTGCTTGCAAGAAAAGGGGCCATATGGAGGAATGAGCTCATATCCTATGAGATTCATCTAATATTTGCTATACATCCACAGAGAAAATGTTACTAACACACCAATAAAGAACGGCTATATTAAGTAATTTCATGAAATTCCCAGACTTAACACTGGGAAGTTTAAACACGAGGCACTACAAATAATGAATTATACTAATAGGTAATGGAGATACAGTGTGACAGATATGGCTTAAAAACACAGAAAAATTATTTCACTCAGCAAGCATGAACTGATCATCCACTTCATGCAACAACCTGGTCCTGTGGCTGGATATAAAGATTTGGCTGTAGCTGCCCTCCAGGAGCTTTTAGTTCAACAGTTCAAATCAAGAAGGACAAGACAAAAAAAAAAAAAAAAAAACAAGTGCTATGAGCTTTTGGTGTTTTGTTTTGTTTTTAGGAGACATATGTTTACAATATTGCATGTGATTCAGAGGGAAGGATCACACCTCCTCGTATGCATGACACTGTGCTTTTTTTGAAGTCAATTTAATTGTTAAGCGCACTGTAAAATTATTGTAATTAACAGCAAGTATTAAGGGACAAAAACTTATCCTTCTTTAGCCAATAGGAGAGACAACGGGATCCCAGCGCATAAATTACAAAAATTGACTTTGTTCGAGGCAAACAAAAAGTAAATACTTGAAAAATAATATAGAAAGATCTCTGCTGGCCTACAAAATACACATTCAAGACAAGCAAAAATTGCAGTGTGGATGTTTAAACACATACACATTTTAAAGGAAAATTAATAGCTTCTCCAGTAAAGAAACACTCAGAAATGATGTTGTAGAAGTGAATTCATATGGGCTGGAATCCATGATCTTTAATAAAAGTCCTTTCTGATTTCGCAGCAAACCGAGTCTAAAAGAGCAACTGGTACCAATCAGGCACACAAAAGTAACTGTAGAACAAGTGTGGCTTTCTGGTTCTACTCTCCTCCTGTGCCTGGGAGGCAGACCCTATAGAACAACTGAAAAGCCAGGGTCCTGAAGTCTCCAGGCCCTGTAAATCCTGCTCCAGCACAGAACCAGCAGCTCCTTCTGCTGCTCTCTGGTAGCATTTTGCTGACAGTGAACAGACTGCACTGGGTGATCAAAAACGTTTGCTAGACGGTCTCTTCTGTGGCCTGCAAGCCTCAAGAAAGTCATCCAGCTGTGAACGCCCAGCGCGGGGCTCAGAATTTGGGGCGCGGGGTGAGAAACCGACCCAGACGCGCCCTGCGCGCTTCCCGAAGGGCGGTTCGCTGCAACAGACGGGACCGTCCCCGCCGGGTCCCAAGCAGGAGCGGCGGTCGGCAAACGTGGAGATGACAGAGGGGTCATCCCCCGCTGCAGACGAGGGCGAGCCTCGCCCGGCCTGGCGACGCGCGGCCGGGGGTCAGGGGAGCACCCCCAGTCCAGGCTGCGCCCCGCGAGCACCTGCAGAGCGCCAGGGACCCACGATGGAAATGTACACGCCCCGGGCGAGGATCGGTCCCCGACAACCGAATTCGGCGCCCAGGAGGAATCTGGGGACCCCTCCTAACGGGACGCGAGCCCCTGGGGAGACGGGGTGCGGTTGCCAGGGCAACAGCCCCCCTCCCACCTCCCCCCCCCCCGCACCGCGCGGCTCTGCTACGTGGCTCCTTGCGAGGCCCCGCGCCGCCGGCAGCCGCTCCGCGGGCGCCCGGCTCACCTGCACCTCCGTCTCCGGAGGCCACTCGGTGTTGACCAGCAGGTCGTAGAGGATCGTCTCCTCCTCGCCCTCCGCAGGGGCGGGCGGCCCCGCCGGCGCGGCCACGGGCGCCGCCATGTTTCCGGGCGCAGGCGCGGAGGAGCCGCTACGGCGGCCGGCGAGGGCCAAGCTTCCCGCCGCGTTCGGCGGCTGAGTCGTGGCACAGGGTGTGGGCTTTGCGGCGGGAAGCGCGGCCTGGCGCTTTTATGATGGGAACTATTATGTGTCTAGGGGACGACGGGGCCTGTGCAGTCCTTGTAAATTCGTCTTAGTGGATCCAAAGCTGAAGCTCTCTTCTGCAGGAAGCTTCTGTGACACAGAAAGGGTGCAAGCGCCCCCCCTGAAATGCCTGCGGGCCGTCAGCAGGGGTTACCCCACCTGTAGAAAGAGTGCTGGGCAGTTTACAATAGCTAAGATTTGGAAACAACCCAAATGCCCAAAAATAGATGACTGGATCAAGATGTGGTACATATATACCATGGAATATTACTCAGCATTCAAAAAAGATAAACACATGCCATTTGCAGCAACATGGATGGCACTGAAAGGGATCATGCTCAGCGAAATAAGCCAGAAAGAAAAAGAAAAATACCGGATGGTCTCACTCATAGCAGGAATCTAGAAAACCTAAATAAGGGACCAGGAAAAAGAATAACTATAAGAAAGTAAAAATCAAAATCAACAAAAAACTATGAACCAGAGACACACTATGGGGGGTGAGGGGCGGGGAGGGGAGGGATTGGGGTCAAAACAAGGGGGTTGTAATTGTATGGGGAATATAAAAATAAAATTTAAATTAAAAAAGAAAGAAAGAGTGCTGGGGTGGTTTTCAAAGAAATACCAAGGAGGAAGCCCATGGCAGAGACGCCAAGGAAAACTATCCATGGAATGTTACTGTGGGAACTCAGAAAAGGCAAGGAAGCCTGTCTGAAGGTGTTGCAGAAATAAATTCTAGCCTTTTGCCCAGGACAGGGAAGAGCAAGCGGTACAGGAATGGTAAGGTCAGGAAAGCTTTATTACTCATGCCTGAGGTCTCAGAACTGGGCAGTCCCCTAAGGTCTGAGCACTGGTCTAGAGACAAAGAGTTTCATTTATACACAACCACTTTACATTGATAAAGTTGGTTAGTTAGCATACAAATGCTTGACACAGGAAAAGGGGAAGGATACCCATCTTAGAGGATGGCCTGAGAGATCAATCAGCCCCACAGGCTGCCAGACCTTGTTTAGATATGCTTATTAAGGAAGCAAACTTATTATTTACTTTACATTTCCAGGTCTATGACTCTTTAACAGGGAAAGGTTTCCTTTTCTTACCAATTGCCTTTTTTTTTTTTTTAAGATTTATTTTTATTTATTTATACATGCACTGGGTACAGTCAGAAGCACAGGAGGGTGAGAGAATTCACCAGAGCCAGAGCAGGGAGCAGAGCAGGCAGAAGGACCGAAGTACACTGCTGAGGGGAGCAGCGGGCGGCAGGAGAGGTCTGCGCACCATGTGGGACCCTCCTCCAGTGGCCGGGGAGCAGCTAGGGATCGAACCCACGCTGCAGAGGATGCAGGCACCTTCGCAGCCCAGCGCTCAACCGCTGCGCCACTGGGAAGGCCCACCAGTTGCCTTTCAAAGGGGCTTCCTGTAGGAAGTAGAGCTTGTCCTGGGTCTTTATGGATAAAATTTGGAGCAAATGGAGACGTTTTGGAGAGAGCATTTCAAGTGGGGGGAAAGGGATTAACAAAGACAGTCAGAAGGCATTGGATGAAAGGGCAGGCAATAAAATCCAAATTGAGAAAAGGTGTAGGGGATGGTGAAGTTGAAATGATAGGTTGAGGACCTACTTGGCAAGAGTTAAAATGCAAACTCATTTATTCATTCCTTATACATTCACTCATTCACTCAACAGGTTCCTCTCTGTGGAAAGCCTTGTCAGCAGAGCCTGTGGCAACCTGAATGAATATAGTGTATGTGTATTAGCTGTGACACATTGTAAAAAAAACAAAACAATGAAGGTGGCTTGGGGGAATTACATTGCATAACAGCCATCAAATGCCTTAGGCAGTGATGCAACTGAAAGCCTTTGCTGGGAAGCCTCTAAGTCCTCCATTTATCTCAAAATCAAATGACCCCAAAACAAACCCTATGTAACAGGGTGTAACAGGGTGTAACAGGGTGGTCCCCAGGAAAGGGGGAGGTTCCAGGTTCCCTGCCCCACCCAAATGGAGCAGGGAGAGAAGCAGTTGCAGAGGAGACTGAGGAAGGAAGGAAGCAGGATGGAGAGCCAGGAGGAGACCTGGAGGAGGCACATGGAATGGAGAGACACGTGAAGAAATTGTGCTTGCCTTTTGGTCGTGGACAGGGTGACACAGATGTGGGTGAGACCCCTGGGGAGGTGACCATGGCAGCTTTTATCTTGATTTTGATTTTGCTCTTTTCCTTCCGGGCTTGTCTGGTTGTTTGTGACCCTTTTCTGTGGGTCCCCACTGGAAGATGCCTTAGACTTGTGGCAGGCTTTGGGGCCTTGCTCTGGGCCAGTCCCATTTGGATGGACTTTTACCCACGAGGGGACGGGTAACTTTGGGTGCTTCATTTAGAAACTAGATTCTTTGCCTTTCCTGTCTTGTTTCCTAATTGTATTAAAGTTCCTTCCCATTAAAGTCACATATGTTTTGTGTTGATGCGGCGGATGGCAGAACCCATTTAGAATAGGCAGGTTTGCGGGGTTGGGCTGCCCCTCTCCCTGCCCTGTCACAGGCTGCCTGCTCCCCCTTACTTCTGACCTCATGCCCTGCTCCCCACCACTACCCGCAGCCACACTGGCCTTGCTGTCTCTGAACACACCAGACCCACATCCATTTCAGGGACTTTTCAGGGCTGTTCCCTCTGCTTGGGGGCCACCAACTTGCCTGACTCTCCCCCTCATGTCCAATTTTTGCTGAAATGTCACCTTAACTCTGAGGCTTACCTCGACTGTTCATTTATATTTTTTTTTATTTATTTTATTTGTGCATACAAGAACTGGGGTATAGGCAAGAAGTCTAGGGGAAGTGAGAAGATCCACCAGAGACAGAGTGGAGAGCAGAACAAGTGTATCTACTGAAATACACTGCTGAGGGGAGTAGCAGCTGAGACAGGAGAGTTCTGCTGTGCCATATGGGTCAGCTCCCTGGCTGGGGATTGAACTCTTGCTGCAGTGGCTGGCAATAACTTGCTAGCACTGAGACTTTAACCCCTGCACCACCAGGGAGGCCCAACTATTCATTTTTTTTTTTTTTTTTTTATAGAGGCATGCTTTATTTATTTGTTTGCTGGTTTGTTTGTTTGTTTTGTTTATACATGCACTGGGTACAGTCAGAAGCGCGGGAGGGTGAGAGAATTCACCAGAGCCAGAGCAGGGAGCAGAGCAGGCAGAAGGACCGAAGTACACTGCTGAGGGGAGCAGCGGGCGGCAGGAGAGGTCTGCACGCCATGTGGGACCCTCCTCCGGTGGCCGGGGAGCAGCCAGGGATCGAACCGGCGCACAGAGGCCGCGGGCAGCTTCGCAACCCAGTGCTCAACCGCTGCGCACCGGGGAGGCCCCCAACTATTCATTTTTAAATGTGCACCACCTTTCCAGATCCCTCCCCCCTTCCAGATCCTTATTTCTGCCTTTTCTCAGAAAAATTGTGTCCACCTAAAATGCTATATAATTTACATCTTACTGTACATGTTTTCTGTCCCCATTCATAAAAATACTAAGCTCCGCCAGGACAGCAGGCATCCCCACGTACCTTTAGATGATACATGCATTCCTTCCATACCTGCAGAACTTTCAAGGGTGATGCTTAACAAGGAGCAAGCAAAATATGTTATTTGTTGAAAAAAATAAATCTGTTTTTTACGCACTGTCTCCCCAAAGGGACTTTTCCCCACAGCTGCGCCCTTTTATCAATTCCTCAGCTGCCAACAGCAATTTCGTGTGTGCATCTCGGCAATGTTGTTTCCAAGTTATCAGCTAACAATGAATCAGTGGCATGGCATTAATATAGTGATAGCACACGGGGCTTCCAACCTCACGGCCACTGGGAGTTTGGATAGTCCAGAGTTAGCAGAGAGATTCAGATTCCCATTTCACAATAAGGAAACCAAAGCTTAAATAAGGAATCTAAGACCACACTAGAGCAGAAATTCAAACCCACTTCTTGGGTCTGGATCTTGTGCACTTTTCCTCACACCACAACTCATCACAGGAATTCAGATACAGCACATAGATGGCTGACAGTGGAATTGAACTGATCAGAAGTACCTTAAAGGATAAAAACTAGGTCATTCGCTTATGCCCAGAAAGCCAAACTCTGAACCGCCAGAAGCCAGAATTTATTCCAGACAGAGGTAGGGGGATTGGCATCCCAAATATAAATTGACTTCCTGAATGGCAGGAATGTGGGGATTATACAAGGGTGAAGGGATGAGAGGGAAGTGCAGGGGCTCACATTCCAGGTCCCAGCAGGTGCCTGAAGCCTCGGTGACACCTGGCAAGGTATCTGAAGTTCCCAGCAGGGTGTTTTCTCAGTGATCAGCAGTGTTGTTTGTTGTTGCTTCTGATGCCTCTATCAATCCCAGAGGAAAGCAGAATTTTATTAGATATGTGATACAGTTTTGCAAGTCCCCAGGGGTGCAGGTAGTGTAACAGGGTGGTCCCCAGGACCCTCTCCTGTCCTATAACAGTTAGAACCAGTTAACAGTTACTCTCAATGAGAGAGGAGGAGTAAGAGAGAACAAAACCGGATAGGGTTTAATTCCCTCCTTCCTGAGCAATTCTTTAATTACGTAATTAATGGAGGGAGTCCAATGTAGTACCATCACTGGGACAGAGGTCTAGTAACCTGGTCTTGCAAGGGATAGAAGTGCATTATAGGTGATGTTGGGCTGCCTGTAATATCCTGTCCTTCTAACCAACTTCCTTGAAGAAGTCTAGGTCTGGTTCGAAGATATTTTAAGTCATAAATAAGGCATTCTAAAAAGAAAAATTATGTTTCCCAAGTAGCCAACACAAATGCTAACTCAGCGAGCTACTTAAGGAATAAGACAAAATGAAGACAATTC